CCTAACCCTAACCCCATGTGATGTCGGCTAAATGAACTTTCGGTGAAATGACTGTCGGTGAAGTGAGCGGCACCGCTATTATTACAGTATATAAATAAAAACAATTTATAGCATTTGGTCTCGGCATTAATCAATTTCATTGACAACAATTTTGGCCCGATTTAGGGTAGGGTTAGCCAGATTTATAACTAGTGTTGGCTACAGATATATTTTCCGTGAAGTGGTGTCGGCCTCATATTCAAATATTTTAACGAAAGTCATTAAACAAAAATTATGCCGTTACATAATTTTTATTATAAATAACATATGTACTATGATATCTAGCACTAATTCTATCTAAGTATCATGTGGTAGCCGAATTTTTTGTTTAACGATTAGGTACCCTATGTCATCACCAAGGCAATCAATTACAGTATAATTCAAAAGCAATCAAAAATTTCGTGCCACAATATCATTATGATATTATTATTTGTAATATTAAGCAAATATTGAATTTCTAAAGATCGTTAATTTTTAAACCATTTTTTTAAAATTATGATACTTTGAAATGCAAATTGAATTTTTAGATACCAACACAATTAATCAATCATTGCACTATTCAATTGACGCTATGCCGTTGACAAGCTACTAAATTCATCAAAATTTAGCTCGAAAAAATAGGAAAGAATAACATTTAGAATTAGTTTTTTTGCGCCCATCATTTGCCAACATGCTTGCTTTTAGATCACTAAATCTATCGAGTAAGGCTATATAATTTTTTTTTTTTTTTTTAAAAAAAAAACTATGCTCTAGAGAATATAAAAAGTCCATCTCTTACCTTTCCATATTACTTACATTACCATCTTAATCGGTGAGAAACACAACCCAACCTTTTTAAACAAGAAAAAAGACTAACATTATGCATACCTTCCAATTTAAAATATTTTTACTCTTCGGAGTTTTCCTTTATTTCATTACTTTCATTTCAACCATTAACGCTAATTATGAACTTGAATCTAGTGCTGACAATACTGATTTTACTGATGAAAGTGACTATTTAGATACTGACGCTTACGCTTATCCTTCGGAAAATATTGAGTAAGTCTCATTTTATATATTAGTCTTCAAGTATTCTATGTGAGACCTAATCTCAAAAAAAAATAAAAAAATAAAAAAAAATAAAATGACATTCAGGAATGATGAAGCTCAATTAGCTCAATTGGGAGGAAGACGCAATTGTTTCAGAAGAGGTTACAGAAGAGGTTACAGAGAAGGTTGCAGAATATGTGGAGGAGATTACGAGGGGAGGAGGTTTCCAAGAACGTAGACTTAGGTAATAGATATATAAATTAATAATAAAAGTGTGGCGACTGAAGCTCCAATATAGGATAAAACTGATTGAATTCAAATAAAATAACTACCTTAAAGCCTCGTGTGACACTCGGGTTAACATTGAAAAAAGTCTTAAATTACTATAATTCGTGTATTTATCGTGCGTCAAATCAGAAAAGACGTAGATTTAAATTTGAAATTCATAAGATTATGTGTTTGTTCGAAATGCGTATAACAAATGTGTAAAATACTAAAATAATAAATGTTTCGCTTAAATAAATTGAATAATTATAGAGTATTTTTTTATTTCACGACAACTTTCGATGACTTATATATCGAAAGTTTTATCCATATCAGAAGATTTTTGATAATAAATGGATGCCTTATGAAAACAATAATCAGTGATTTATTCCACTGGCATCACTCATATCAGAAGATTTTTGATAATAAATGAATGCCTTATGTTCATCCTTTCCTACTCTGATTCTATTAAGATAACAATAGGCAATATCAAATGTTTCTATGGCATGTCCTATATCTGTGGCTTTTTGAATCGGAAACAAGTCCACGACCAGTTGTTTTTCAAATTCTGAGTCGATGTCTAGAGGTAAGTATTGATAAATAAGTATTTATGCTCATAATTTTTAATTCAACTGATTAACGTTAATAGATCATTTCTATACTCACGTACTATTTGAGGTATATTGAGTAATTAATTGGAAATAAGTGTCTAGAGATAAATATTGATAAATAAGTATTTATGTTTGTGATTTTAATTTTAGTAATATTGATAAATAAGTATTTATGTTTGTAATTTTAATTTTAGTTTATACTCGCGTACCATTTGAATGGCATTAGTATTCTATCGGAAATAAGTATCTATAAGATAAGTATTGATGAATAAACACTTATATTCGTGATTTTAATTTCAGTGGTTAACTTTAATAGATAATCTCTATATTCACGTACCATTTGAATGATATTAGATGAAATAAATGTCTAAATAAGTATCGATAGAGTAAGCATAAATTACATATAATAACTCAAAATCAAAGAAAATGAATATTTGTTAGTGATTCAGTAACGGACAATGTAAGTTTTCATAATTTAAGAAACAATTTTAGAGAAGTTAGGATAATAGATATTTCTGAGTTACGTGGTACTCACTCTTATGTGGGATATATTCATGCCAACTTTCACAATGGCAATATCTTGCAAGACCAGTAGGAAACTTACAAACAAAAGCCAATATATTTGGTTTTGTATTATAACGACAGAAAGATCTTTTGATAGGATGAGACTTGCTGCAAGAATTCGTAAAGATAAACTCCCAGAATTCATAAAGTAATCTATAAAATTTCACGATATTTTTTAATAAAAAGGAATGATCAAATTATGTTGTCGTACATAGTAAGTGATCCTCGCGATAATAACCTCGTAACTATCGTCAACGCATAAGGCTATTCTACCAATCAGATACGGCAAGACACTCGTGACAGCAGGATAATTTTATTATGTTATATGATATTTATATATTAAAATAAATAATTATTATTATAATGTACTGCAAAAAAGTAATTGGTTGGAGGTTGGGTAATCGGTTAGACGCTAGGGTGTTACCTCAACTAATAAAATCAAATATTAGTTAGGGTAATATATGAAGATTGTGAGACCCGAAGTGTGGTTAAATTGGGTCCGGAACGGTATAACGTGACCCGAGGTCACGGGAAAAGTTGCATTTATTGCATTTATTGCATTTATTGCATTTATTGCATTTATTGCATTTATTGTATTTATCGTATTTATCGCATATATGGAATAAGTGTAATTAATGCAATAAAGGCGATAAA